TAAAATGATGAGTTAATTCATTTAATATTTCGAAAATCGTTTTGTAGGTCTTCCGGAATATTTTCAAAGAAAATTGACCATTCAGTCAATGAATTTTCAAAAGAAACATGTGAAGGGTCTGATCAGTCAACACCAATGAAAAAGCAGCGTCCTGTTGGAAATAAAAGAAATGGACCTGAAATTCAAAAGACAGAAGACATATATGCACAAGTTATAAAACCACATAAGACTGAAAACATGAATGTGCTATACTCGGAGGGAAACAAAACACGAAAGCTATCAACCGGCATTCAGAAAACAGATGATAACTATTCAGAATTTTTCGAAGGAGAATATGATCGTTTATACAATTTTGACCGTCGCATATTGGACAAAGATTCAAATATGTATGATAGCAAAGAAGGAATAAGTAACAATCAAGATCCATGTTTGATACTACATTGCATGCGAGCAGGTTTGAAAGCGAAGATGTTTATGATCATTCATTTACTAATGTGAATACAGACTCAAATTATGATTGTTCTTCGTCATTAGCACAAACAAGTATGAAAGAGAACGATGTGTATCATAAAAGCGTCTTAAAGAATCTTTAATGTTCAAATCAAAGATTTATATTGTAGGAAAATACTAAATGCAACTTTGATGATACATTATAGCATAAGCAAAAATACAATGACTGCAAAAAGTATATCAAGAAAATATAAGTAAGATATAAGGGATTAAAACATTATTTAACATATTAGTCATAGCGTTGTTCATTTGATATATGTATATAATTTTCAGTATGTCCCCAAATTTTGTCCTTTTATCATTCCAATATGTAAAAAAGGAGATGGGAGTATACGCCATTGAGTCAAATACCACACTGCTAACACGATACTAGACTTTTTAAATCTGTTTGCTTTTTGTCAGTCAAACTAGGACCACACAAAAGTCATACATCTAGCAAAACACTCAATATATTGGTGAAAAGTACGAAATCACAAAAAGCAAGCTGCAAAATACTACAAAAACCCAAATTGCATATTCGGGAAAACGGATGAAATCTTTAATTAGTATTTGATTATTAATTGTTTACAATGTATGTGGTAAAAAGACACAAATACTAAGTGATCATAATTACTTGATGTGCTTTAGGTATGTATTGTATTATCATATATAGTCTTTAGAACGATGTGACTGTCTTTATTCGCAGCATATCTTATTGTGGAACTAGAAATTTTGCAGGGACGTAATCATAATTTAATGCATGCACCACACTCATTAACATTACTGTATATGTAATAAAAGACAAACGGAATGATACAAATACAGAATCAATCTTATATACCCAGAGAGTATCTCTTACTTTGCAGTCAGTATTTACTGTTGGCACTATAGTAAGTGATGGTGCTGAAGAACTAGAAAATAAGTTTTATAATTTACATTTTCAACCCGAATTTGTAATAAAACAAACATTTAGAAATTGAATTTGATTTAGAAAACCCCTCTAATTTAAAGATTTATTGTTGCTATTTACAGTTCGTTGTAAATTGCTTTGAACATCAATATATTTCACATAAATCATTAGCAACACAAAGAAAGGCCATCACCTGATTTTTTATACAAAGAGGTTGTTAATTTGTAGCTTATTTTAGACGCCAGATATCCACTGTTGACTTTACAGGTGTTATATGCTTTTGTCCAGGTAAACAGTCCACGTGGAGACAGCAAAACTAAAAGGGGTAACATCAATTGAAAATCCTCAATTGATGCATACAAAACTCATAACGTTTACCAAAAAAGGAATATGTATTAAATGATTGAATAATTAAGCCAGGTTTGGACAGAACTATGTTGCACTGAGTTCACATGAACTAGAGCAGGAAAAGCGTCTCATTTTCTAATGGTAATATATAAGTCGTGGAATTACGTAACATTGTATAGTTTACCATGACAATTTTGTTCGAATTATTCATGCCTTACGAAAAATTCAACAAAGAAGATTTAGTACTTTGTTATATCAAACGTGGCGTATTCAGATTATACATACCCTTTTCGATTGGGGCTCCATGTTTAGTGTCAGTTATTACGCATATTCTATACCATGATATAAAGCTGTAGTATTAGTGTACTGTATTTTGTTAAATTAACCAACGCGTGTTCCAGATCAAAAGTTACCAATAGTAACAGTCAGAGGGAAATTAGTTTACACCACCTTGTGGTATTACTGTAATTTGTGAAAAAGCAGCTTATCCGAACTATTTGCTCCGAATTAAATTACAATCTCCCGTGCTTGCGTTGGCAAAATTATCAGTATTGTCAATATTGTAATCTACGCCATCCTGGTAAATGAACTTTAGTTATAAAGTATCAAAGACATCGTTTTGTCTCATAAAATATAAGCGAAACAAATAACAACATCCTACTAGTTTCGTACAAGCGATATCATTCAATAAATTAGCAATTTATATGTAAACTTATTACTTACTATCAATGGAAAAAGGAAAACAAATTCTCCTGTACTTAATGAGCGTGATATCAGTTTTGCTAGTTGCTTTTTCGAATCGTTACTTGTTCAATGATATAATGTATATACTTCTGGAGGTTAAGGGTTCTGTACCCCCAGCCACAGATGGCTTTAGCAGTATTTGCACAAGTTTACGAACATTTTGGATCTCAGTGTTCTTTGATATCTTATTTAATTATGTCTTCAAACTGATTTGATTTAAGTGCCACTGATGAGTATAATATAGACGAAACGTGCGCTTAGCGTACCAAGTCATAAGCCTGATATCTATTATTTAGTGTTTACTGGATTGATTCCACAGCCGGTTTGTCGTTCAGTGCTTGAGTGTATTACCAGCCAAATAGTCAGCATTTATGTGTTTACATGAATTATCAATGATAAGGAATATTTCTGCAAATTGTTTGTTTACATCATTTTGAATAAGAATTCAAACACTAAGTTATCATTACCATCAGACACATATGGCCTAAGCCGTGTGTGGAATAGTAATAATGTACAAATTCTGAAAATGTTCTGATTACATAATTTTGAATTAAAATTCCAAACACTTAGTTATCATTGTCATCAGATACACATGGCCCTAGCCGTACGTGGAACAACTTTTTGAATTCTTTCCGCCAAAATGTAATATCAAAATCTATAGCATATAAGAAATTATCGTATATACATTAATGTATAAACACTACTATCTAGTGTGTGATATGGTTGTATGGCGCAATTATTAGATAAGTAAGCCGCCTACCAAAAGCAATAACAACAACAACGAATTCTTTCATTTTTATTTTTCTCACATGTCGTGTTTGATTATGACTTCAAGTGGATTCGTTTTTGGGGACTAATTTAGCATCTATATAAGCCAATTGTGCTTGGTGTAAAACATGCTGCGAACAAGAACAATAAGAAGAAACCATTATCCTTTAACTTCAATTTCCGCTGTATCGATGATGTCCTTTAACATAATAAATTCAAACCGTAGAGTTGACCGCATTTCTTACATTTCTCTGAACATCAAGGATACTATTGGTCTTTTATCAAAATCTGGCTGTACATTAAGAAACTAACAGTGTGTGACGGTTTGAAACTACAATTTACTCACAAATGGAGACTTGATATTTTCTATTATAACATTAATTTAGACTTTTATGCAGCAACCTTCCAACGATATCTAAATATTGAATATATATCTCCGAGTTATTCGAAATAACGTTGCATACACTATTCCTAGGTTTTTATGGACGTCATTATGATTTTAGTGACCATTATGAAATAAAAATAACATAGTCACGGATTCACTGCGGTCATCCGAAAATCATTTATAGATGCTGTGCGTCTTTTTGCCATTGGTATTCCGGGGATTAATTTGTTCGATAATCATACTAAAAATACTAATTTTGGACAATTAAATTTTGCTTTATGAATAGGTACCACCGTGAGTAACGCTCACATAATTTCAGGTTTTCTTGTAGAAAACACAAGAGGCTTATATCATTGTCTCGGTATTCGCGCAGTCCAGTAAGTATGAACGATTAGATACAGACAGAGATAAAAAAAAATAAAAAAATCAGGGACTAGCATGCAACATAAGGTATAATGGTGAAAAAGCTATATACGCCACAAATAGTGTCTCAAAAATGCTATTTCGTTTGTATTTGATGTTGTCACTTGTGAGAAACGATAAAAAAAACCCGTATTTTCCTAAGCAGCTATTGCTTAACAAGATTATAGTGAAATAACCTCAGATGATGTTGAAAACAGTCTACGTTTTTGTGGATATGATTAAAAAGTTGATTAGGTAAATAATATTTACATACTAGTATTCAATACTAAAACAGGTCAGTTTATTGCATACAATATGTTTCGTAAGTACTTTCTACAAACTGGAGTAACTATAATGTTAATAACATGTGCGTTCTTTTGTTGTTTGAAAATTTAAAAAAAACACAACTTTAACTCTTCACAAGTTGTTTTAAACACCAATCTGGATTTATATGATTCATCTAACAATAACTTATGTGTAGATATTTGCTCCACAAATGTAAAAAAATAAAAAAAATTACCATTAAATTTCTTAATCTGAATTGCTTTGAAATAGTTATGAAGACGATGAAATGTATAAGATGACCGTAAGGTTGTTACCTGGTTAAAATAATGTGTGAATTTAACCATGGATAAGATATAATTCTACCACATCAGTCACTTCTTGAAATCAGGGTTACAACTAAATCAATGTCATCAAATATTTTATTGTGTTCATATTCAGCAGTACTGAATTACCAATAACCCTTCTCAAGATAATACATTGTTGCCGCTAGACTGATTTATCGTATACATCATTTTCATTTCTAGTTTCTGATTTGAGAGTTGACGAATAACCGTAGTCACAACCGTCTGTTGATAATGTGTCTGTATGATCATAAACATCGTTATCAAGTTGCAGTCTTCTTCCCCCATGGTTGGAACTGTCGTATGTTTGGTCATATTCGTCAAATTTGTCTTTGAATCTGTTCTCCGTTTTGATACAGCATTTAATCGATCATATTCTCCGTATGATGTTTCAGTATAAGTGTCCTCAGTTGTTTGGAGTCCGTTCTTTTTAATTTATTTACGACTGCATACGTGTTGCTTGAATTGATTGGAGCTAAGCCATATGATTGGTTAGAAATTGGCGTCTCACTTGTTCTAACTTCTGGATTTTGTGAATGCTCGTAGAACTCGGTGGAGAATTGGACTTCTTGCTTATCCGTATTAGCCGATTTAAAAAATCCACATGACCTAAAAATAACATGAAATGTTAGATCTATTTGAGACAGGTAGAAGATATCAAAGCGATAGTCATAGGTTTAAGTCAAACACAAACAGACAATATTGTAAATGAATAGAGAAAAGACCGAAAAGAAAAGAATGTCGACAAGTTTATAAAATATTAAACTGAAAACTATGGATTCAGCAACAAAACGCCACATACAAATGTCGGTGCACTCCTGTGTCATATGAAAGTTAGAAGTGTACGTTGAGTGAAGGATATCATTGTATAGTTTTATAACAAAACCGAATGATCATATTATGCAGTTTAGTTCAAATAATCAAAATATAATAAGAAATATATAAAGATTGGCATAGTTTTTATTAAAATTAATTCCCACTCCATGCTTATGGGAAACAAGTAGTCTAAGTTACAAGGTCTTTAAAGCAAGTTGATTTTAATTTCCCTGTGTCAAGTGCAACAACTATTCATTTTTTGTCTTTTGTAATCTTTTATCGTTATAGTCATGTTGCTGTCTTCCCGGTCATTTCCCCAGATCTCAATTATTCAAATGCAACGGGACCAGGCGCAGGTATCAACTGTAGCACACACTTTCACAATTATAGCTAAAAGACTTCAAAACCGAAAATGAAGTCAAATGGATAAGTTGAATCAATTACATTAAATAAACCGTTAGTAAATTGATAAGAAAACAAGTGTAATAGTGACTTTATCACACACATGAAGTGATAATTAATTCATTTGTAAGATATCAAACTTGTGTATTACAGTCAGATAATTTTCGGATATACTAATCACATTTTAAACAAGCTAGAAATGTCTTTTTTTTTTCAAACTTAAAGTAACTCTATGCTTTCTTGTCGAATGAAAAAAGGTTCTCAACTCGTCCCTTGTTTTTTTGTGAGTTTATTGCCTAAACAACTTTAACAATGTTTAATGTGTAACGTTTGGATGTGAGCTCAATTAACATGAAATATATTTTTAATGTGCATATGCACATTGTAAAACCCTATAATTTTGTTTGTTTTAATGTCCCTATTTATAACAATTACAAGTTGAGCCCCGACAGTAAATATTGACAATGTATTTAGGTCGTGTAGATCAAAGCGCCCACGAATCATTAACATGCTAGGTTATAAACTAACAGTTCGCTTACAAAGCACGGTCTATTGAATGAATGAAATGTTATAATTTAAACAGGAAAGTATTAAAATGAGCTGTTGCACATTTCATTTCGTATCTGATTGTTTAAAAATGAAAACAACAGTAATAAATGTCATGCGTAACGACGTCGGTTTATCTAGTCAATTTAAGAATGTAAAAAAAAATAAATGCATACTGGTTTCAAGGCAGGGTCGTCAGTTTACAGCGGCTTTAAAAAAAGATACAGGTCAATAGTGTATCATCGTATGATTTAGTAAGTCGTAAAGTAATAATTAATTTAAGGTCAACAACGAAAAAATGTTAACCAATAGCAAATTCAGATCTATTTTTATAACAATAAATGTTAAGGAAAATTAGATCTGTGTACTCAAAGTATAGTACGCGATATGATATTACCTTATTTTGCAGAAAATTATCACAACCAAAACAGCTAAAAATGCGATTCCACCTGCAATACCACCAATTACTGGACCTAACAAGAAAAAACAACAATGTCACATGTGTGGACAATACATATCACTTATATCTGATCCAAATATAATAATAAGTAAAAAAAAATTTGTTGATTAAACCAGACTTTGAAGGACTTATTTCTGAGACATTGGTACATTTTTGTATTTCTGAAATGATAAGATAAGCTGCACACAAAAATGTGTTCATAGGTCCTTATTTATTGAGTTGCAATTACTGTGGATTCATTTTTATTTGTGATATACAAATTTTCGTGGGTTTCGTGGGTCACAGCAAACCACGAATTTAAGAATTCGACGAAGAATAATCCCGAGAAATGTGTATGGAGTCGGATGTTTAATTTCCGGTTATGTTATGCAGTTCTAGTATAGTGTTGACTAGCGATAACCATTGTAACATAACACGTGTTTTTATTGAAAGAAGATACAAGTATTTTGATTAAATCAATAATAAATATATCGAATATCAGTGATAATTTACTTTTTAAAATTGATTAAAAATGTTCCTGGAAAATAACTGCAAGTTGTTAATTACCCTGTCATAGTTTGGTTTACTGGTGATTAAAAATCAATAGGATTAAGTACGGGAATATTGCCCGTAGGTAATATAGTTTACGACAAGGACATTTATTTTCACACCTTTTACTTATATGACTGTTTCTTATATCGTGATTAGGGAAATGAGCTTTCAATCATAGAGTTTTGAATGCCTTATAAAATTCCGAAAAGAATTTATAAATTGTAAAACAAAAAAAATAATTAGTTGTCTCTGTCCATTATTGTAATAGAAGTTTTCAATGAACACTTTAACCTAGAATGACCAAGCGAGGATTTTGACAATTCAAAACTTTTTCAATTAATTCCTTCTTTTTTGTTTGTTTTATTACTGTTCAAACCAAGGAGATTATATGCTCTCCTAAATCAAAAAGAAACCCACGAATTACGTATCTGAATTTATTTTTTTTTGTAATCAGCGATCCACGAATGTACGTATACCACGAAACGTCTTTTTTCCTCTATTCACGAAAATTGATACCCACGAAAATAAATAAATCCACAGTAATAATTAATCATAATTAATATTTTAATCAGCCGTTAATCCATCACACGTTCTGTTTTGTACACATTATACAAAAAAAGTTCAGTTATATTAAAGAAAATAACTAACTGAAAAAGTCAGATGAGTAAGGTACCTATATCAAAGCTGACGCTAGAATCTTTCCCCATCGTCTTTGTTGCAATTACGCTTTGGCTTGAGATTGTAGTAGATGATTCGTCTAAAAAGAAGGTGAACAAATTGTTTAGCAGAGCTATCTTTGTACAAGTCTTATATAACTTCAACATTGATACCACGTTTCTACCCTATTTTATACAATTACGTGAACAAGGTTTGAAAACTCTTTTCTATTCAGGCATGCCATAATTGTTGGCGTAAAATTTGTTTCTAATAAAGTTATATTAGTAGAATGATTCCTCAGTTTTTTGTTTGTTTTCTGTATTGGTTAGTTTCTTCTTAATCGATTCGATACAATTGTACAAAACTGACTGATTCCTTTTTATGTCTTGTATTTGGTTTTGCCGTACCTCATTCCCCTTTATGTTTTTTAAAGACTGTTTTATTGTAGATCTATATCATTTTAGTTTAAACGTGCAAAAAAAATTAAGACATTTTTTATTCTTAGTGAAAACAACTTAGAAATATTCATCGCTCACTTCTACTTTAATCCAAAACGACAAAGGGTTCATTTCAGCCGTTATTACAAGTTTTTCATAATACCTAAATAATACAATTTTAATTGAAAAAGTTCCTTATTTTCTTCGTTGGAGAGCTGCATTTGTAATATTTCTTGTGAACATACAAAATACAGATTAGACTAAAAATTTCTTGATTTACATTCATCAGGAACACTCAAGGTATATCGTTCTTGGGTGTTCTAGTTTTTGGATGATTGACAGTTGATTAATACAGTTGTAATCACACATTGTTTTTAAAAATTCAAATTCATTATTTGTCTAACACAAGAACATAGAAGTCTCGGCGAATCTAGTTCTTTAATTTATCTTGGTTATTGACCTGATTCATATTTTTTGTATATGTCTTTCTCTACTTTTGTATTTGAATCCATCAGGACGATGAACAGCTGCCGGTCGATAATACATACCACAATTAATATAGCGTTTATACTAAATATCATTCAAAGAAATTGGAATTATGCATCGTACAGTTACATATTACATTTAAAAATATTGAGACCACTGGTGTGAATCTTATGTTTATTCTAAAAAGTTCAAATGACCTACTCCAAAATCATTACACAAAATTATCACTATTTCTTACTGTAATTTCATCTCCTTAAACCGAGTTTCCCTAAAAAATTAAAAAAGAAAGACACATTCTTTATTTGGATTGACGAAAAATCATACTTGGGTAATTAGCACAGTGATACCAACAACAAATACATCGTAGACTATATAAAGTAGAAAGACGATGGACTTTTTGATCGACTAATGCTTATATAATACAGAACTTATACCTATCATTCCACCATGAAAAAAATAAAATCACTAAAATACTGAACTCCGAGGAAAATTCAAACGGAAAGTTCCTAATTAAATGGCAAAACAAAAAGCTAAAACCCATCAAACGAACTATCTTTGCAAGCTCTTTAATATCATGTTATAAAGACGAAGTTCTTTTCAACGAGTGCTTGAATCGGATAAACCCCAAACAGCATGCTTTTAAAGAAATGCAAGCTTCATATCTGAAACTGTTTTTTTGAAATTGAGTCGGGTTGGGACTTCAGTAAATCTTTTGTCATATTCAATCGTATGGTGTTAAAATATATTAATGAATTCGTAACACGCATGAATATTCATGTATATTAACTTTAGAAGTTAATAACGCAAAAACTGCTCTATGAATAAAAGATAAGATATGGTATGATTGCCAATGAGACAACTCTTTACATGAGACCAAATGACATAGAAATTAACAACTATAAGTCACTGTACGGCCTTCAACAATGAGCAAAGCCCATACCGCATAGTCAGATAAAAAAGGCCCCGCAATGAAAAATGTAAAACAATTCAAACGAGAAAACTTACGGCCTAGTAAATGAACAAAAAAAAAGAAATATGTAACACAACAACAAACGACAACCACTGAATTAAAGTAAAGGCTCCTGACTTAGGACAGTCATATACATACAGAATGTGGCGGGGTTAAACATGTTATCGGGATCCCCCCTAACCTGGGACAATGGTGTAATCATACAACATATGAACGAACTATACAAAGTTAGCAGTTTTTTTTTAAGGCAGAATGACTGAAATCTCTATTTTACAAATTATAAGGTCATTATCTGGACCGTGAGGACATATCTCTATCTGTGTTATAACTCAAGAGATTTTTCAATTTGCGTTACTGCTGCATAAACAATACCATATGCATGATGTGTATCATCTGGTACACATCATTTACTTAATATATATATATAGTAAATACTAATACATATTAGATCATGGGAAACACTCCCGTTCTTGAAAAAAGCAAACAAGCAAGAAAGAAATAAAACGCGGTACTTAAAGACAAAAAACTCATCATATATACCAGGCCTCAAATCTTGTACGTCAGACGCGCGATTCATCCTTGAAACTTTTTCTGTTTTCTGCACAGCAAATAGACTTTGCTCCGAGGTTGTAAAAGATGCGGCACCTTGAATATAAGGGAACACAATTGGTTTCAATAGAAAAGTTACCATAATTGCATTTGTATAATATGTAAATTAGATTGAACTTCAACAATGTGAATCATCATAACGAAAGGCACTTAGTGGAGCTTGCAATTATGTAAATAATTATTTCATAAGCTCATATAATCTGAAAATGTCTCAGTTTTGACATAAGCTATCATACATTCGAATTAACGATTCAAACAGAAGAAATGTGGACGATGTTACTTTTACTTCATACCTTAATTTATTGTGCAAATTAACTATAAATATTTTAGTATGATCTATATCACAATGTAATGAAGTTGTTTAAGTCATATGAAACTAAGTTCTTGTAATTTTGATGTTATCGAAATTTGACCCAATGCAATCATAATACCTGTATCCCCACTATTTATATTTATTACGAATCTATAACGTAATATTGACAAATAATATTCCATTTAGTTATTGTGAATCGCAAGCTTATTAAATTTCAAGTTCGTTGTCGAATTTAAATGGATAGTGACACTGTTAAACAATCAACACATAACAAAAAGTGATATAACAGAGCAATTATATAATTTTGTTTATATTTTGCATGCGTGGTCATTTGTAACCAGTGCACGTTTGTTCACATTCTTTCATCACGGTTTCCACCTTGCACTTGCGCTATGCAGTGGCCGAAGCTCTAACGAAAGGTCCCAGTGAAGACAATGATTCAATAGCAGTATATTAATGCAGATTATGGTGATATAAAGGATTGTCTTTTACAATGAAGTTCATATAAACTTGATTTATAAACTTACTCAGCAATTCAAGCATAAAAACATATTCAAGTTTTTTTTGTATTCGAAGTTTCATATGACTTGAATGCATGAGTTATATACCTGTTCTGCACACAAAATAATCTAACTGGTCATTGCAAACTCTTCTGGTAATATTAAGTTCTCTTTTGCCATTTTTATTTGTAAACGAGCCTGCTAAACAGTAAAGCGGATCTTTGTTGCCTGCTTCGGCTGAAAATGTATGTAATCTTAAAGTATTATTAATAAAGTATAGACTGAAAATGCAGCGCACAATACAATGAATGAGTTCTTTTCATAGTCTGCTTTGTTGCCAAACATATTTTTCTATTTGTTAATAATGAAACACGTGACATTTTCTGCATTAACTTGTAAAGCCTTAAGAAAGCACCTTCAGTCTTGCAATACACTTGACAAATGAACATTATATATTTCTGAATCTCAAATTATGTGTCCAAAATACCAATGGGGATTTACAAAACCCATAAGTTGAAAACTAACAACACCATGGCAGAAAGACGACGAAAATACGAACAATCCAGCATAAAACCAAATAAAAAAAAAGCAACGCAGCAACACGAACCACAAAAACAATTTTGGTAGTCATTGGTGCTCCGGAATGTTAAGTTGATTGAAATTGATCAGAGATGTATTTTGAATGGTAGGTGTGTCGATTAACACATCGTACGTTACTATCATCTTTCGTTTAATGAACATAAAGTAACTGTCATCACTTGTCAAAGTCGCTATATATCAGCCATACAACTTTTCATTAACATGTTTATACTTTAAAAAGGTGGGGCTAATACCTGAAAAACGTTAGTAAATCCTACACGCGTTACTTCCAAAACCTTTATAGGGTTATCAATCTATACCAGCGAACCTTCTAAGATAATGTTTCATGTTATTGTATTGATTATTATACATTTATCTTTTATGTAACCCAAAAAGATAACAGAACCGAATTAAATATTTCAATAAATTTTTATAAAGAGTTTTTATTGATTTACCTTGTGTCAGCTTAGCTTCAGTTTCCGCTCGAAAAACATTTGTCCAGGCATGAAGCGCTTCGTTTACATGACCCATCAGTCGGCAATAAATGTCAGGTGAAAGCAAAAGCTGATATCTTTCCAGGCACATTTGTTTGCTATTTGAATACGGTTTACCCCAACCGACTACGGACCCGTTATCTTGGAAGTGATGAAAAAAAGAGAGATGAAAAATGAAAATATTAACTAAATTCTTTAAATAAGATACTAATGAAGAATTTTTGTTAATAAATCAATGACAGGAAATTAATAGGCATGCTGTCAGGCTATGAACATTTTTACATTGCATGTTTCTCAAAGGAAATTAGCAAATCATACCTATTAACAGACTGTGTGTAAAATAATTTACAATATTTAAATAAAATGATTGGAAATCTTTGAAAGATATTTTAAACGGTCATCTTCGGAAATGCCATAACACCATTTTCAATTTTGTTAGTGAAAACTATAAGTACGCAAAACGTAATAGTTGAATAACTGCCTTATCTATTTTTTTTTTAGGTTTGAGAGTTTCTGATGAATGTGTATCCAAAAAAGTGCTTCATACACACAAAATGTTTTTTTTTAACTTACAAACACAGGGTAATGTCGCTGCTTGTAGACTGCAGGTCCCCAAAGTAATTTGTAGTAACCACTACCTCGCTACTGCATTTATTTACAATATATACTTGTTTAAATACCCCGTTCATAATTTAAGAAATTCTTATAAAACTTTGGTTACAAATACCTCAGGCAAAGTTGAGCAAGGTTAGCTTTTTGGTCACATAGCTCCTAACGTTGCAGAGTATTTAAGCATCCCTGGCATTCAAATGTTAAGGTCTTAGCGTTCACGATGAAAGTAGTTCCGGAAAAGCGCTTCGGACGCTTAAAATTTATAAAGTGTTTATCTAATTCGTATGCACAATTTGTAAAAAGCTTATTTGTTAAACAACAAGTAATCCGAAGTGTATTTTTTTTCTACGAAACATGCTGCTAGTGTTTTTAAGCTTACCTGGCCAAAAGGGCCAATGTGAGCTTTTGCTATTACTTGATCTAGAATGATTTATATTTCCGAAATCATTAATTGACTACTTTTATAAGTTG